CATTTTCCATCCACTGTGGCTGGAGGTGTAAGTGCTGGAAGCACGGCTTTTAAACAGCTGAAAGCTAGAAAGCAAATACCTGCTGCAAAGGGATTATTTTTAATTTCTTGGAGTATTTGGGGCCGGGCTCCCAATGAATTCAAATAGCTGAGATTACTTACAAAGCCGGCGCTGCTGAAAATCCCCCAAACGAATGACTCCTGCCTTGAAAGGACCTTGGCTCCAGCACAAAGCTATTTCTGCCTTAGCATGATCGATTCTACCAACCTGCTGGGCTTTTTGTGCAGGAGATGTCGGATCAGCTGAAGGAGACGTTCTGCAGAGAGAGGCTCCGGTGCCGAGACAGAGCAACGCAACCAGCAAGGCAGCGGGCCACGTGCCAGGTGACTCACAGGAGCGAGGGGACACTCAGAAACCAAATAAAGTCACAGAATATTCTGAGCTGAGAGGGACCCACAAGGATCATCAAAGTCCAGCTCTTGGCCTCGCACAGGAGAGCCCCAGTAATCCCACCATGTCCCTGAGAGTGCTGTCCAAACTCTCCTTGAGTTGTGACCACAGCCCTGGGGAGCTTGTGCCAGTGCTCAACCACCCTCTGGGTGAGGAGCCTTAAGAGTAAAGAGCTAGATTACTCTATCTGGGCCTTCCCTGCAGATCTGTGCTGCTCACTGCCTTCCAAGGGTTCTGCCCACTGGGAACATGAGCAGCTCTGATCTCTGGTGCAGCATAAGCAGCCACAGTCCTGCCAGCCAGAGGCTCTGCACCAGCCTGAGGAATGGCTGGGGAGGCAGGAGGAGCATCCTGACTCTTGAGGAATACATTCAGTGCAGGTAGCTCAGGGTGCAGCTGCAGAACAGGAGCAAAAGCTGCTACAAGGCTACTTGCATGTCCAGACTCTTCTTGAACGTGACTTTGGACACTGCTCACCTACTTCAGGGACAGGGAGAAGCTTCTCTTATTCTCCTTGAACTATTTACTACAAACAAGAGTCAGATATAAAGTGTAATATTAAACATTTTTGTCTTGTTTGTGTGTGTGCTGTGGGATTGAAACCCCACAGGAATAAGTGACTCACACAAACAGCTTGGGTGTCAAACTCAGATCCCCTGACAAGTAAGTGCTCACAAAGTTTGGGGTAAGGACAAGGCAAAAGCCAACACTGAAGTTTGTCAGGTGAGGCAGCCTTACCACCCCAGGGTTAAATCCCTGAGCAGGTAACACACACAACTCCCTGCCCATCTTCAACTGTGTGTTCAGGGCTCTACTCCATCCTCAGTTCTTCACCTCCTCCTGTCTTTTCTCAAATGCTCCCCTGCACACCAAACCTCACCCTCAGCCAGCAGCCAAGAGTCAGCCTAGACGTTAAACCCTTCACTTTTAGCCTTTCTTTAGGAGGGGAAAAAATAACCGGTCCACAGACATATTGCAAAGGCTTAACCTCCACCCTCCAGAGGCAGGAAAAGTCAAATAGCAAACCGTAAATCTAGAATATGGTCAGGTCAGGTCAGGTGTGGGAAAGCAGCTTCTCTGCAGCTCTCTGTGCCTTGGAGGTGCTCCAAGTGCCACACCACCCCCTCTCACCATCCCAAATCACTTCCAAAGGTGATTTGCAACAAAGGGGCCACCATCCCTTTGCTAAGCAGACAACCACAAAAGGGACATCAGCTCTCTTGACTTTGTGCCTTCACTCCCACCAAGACTCACAGAGCCTGAACAGGGGCACATGAGGAGCCCCCATCTCCTCTGCTCGGCTCCAGAGTCAAACTAACAGCCAAGCTCCCAGCAGAGCAGTCCCCAACATCCCTTGGGCCCGGAACAGCAAGAAAAATGCCAGAGGCAAAGGCGTATTTTTATCTCCCTGTTATCTGGATCATCCTGGTCACAGGGAACATTACTTAGGAGCCATGGTTTCAGTTGTAGTAGCAATACTAAAGTAATAATCCATTTTAATTGTTTATTTATCTTATTATTTCTCTAGTCACCTTTAAACACCCTCCCTTTGCCTTGGAAAGGTGTTGGGAGATCCTGAGGAAGCCCAAACCTCTGGAAATATTTTAAAAGCATTTCTGACATAAATCAGAGATAAATAATGCCACAGAGCTGCTCTAAGGAAAAGAACAAGAAAGGAAGCACTGCTGTAGGCACTGATGGGATCTGGGAGGGCAGCTGAGCCTGATAATGGGCTTAACAGAGGTCCCAGGGCAGCCTTCATCCTCACCTGGGGGTGTTCTTTTGTGGTCTCTGCAGGCTCCAAGAGACTCCTCTTAATAAAAGGTCTTTTTTTTTTTTGGCAAGTGTGAGAGCTGCAGTCTGACTTGTGGGTGGTTGCTCAGACAGTCAAAGTAACGAGGATTTTCCCACACAAGAAACCATCTCTAAGGAAGTATTTACAAGCGATCCAACAGAAATCAGCATCATCATTTAGTCCAAAGCTGTCTGCAGACCTGCATGGAAGTCCACAGGAAATTTTGGATCAGGCCTCCACTTTCTCCAGTCCTTTCTCATTTTCTTACACTGCAAGGGCACACCTGGATCAGGTGACATAAAAGCTTCTCCTCAGCACATCAACAAATCCAAGCCTGACCTGTAACACCCCCTGCCATGCCAGGACTGGGCTTACCAGCAGTGCCGGTTGCCAAGTGTTATCACACTCCAGTGCTTGGTGCTTGCATGAAAAACGGAGGTTTGACAGTAGGTGACACCTCACATTCAGCTCCATGTCATCCCCACAGCTCGTGTGGGAACCAGGCTCGCTAATTACTCAAGAGGAGTCTGTAACTGTGCATATTTCAGGAACAGGCAGGTCAAAGAACAGCCCTTAAAACACCTTCACACCAGGGGCAAGAATTAGGTTGAGAGAAACAGAGTTTTCCTCAGATCATCTCTGGTTCCTCAAAATATTTTGGAACATTTATTAGTTTTTCAGGGGAAGAAAGGAAAAAAATATTCCACATTCAGAAGTTGGGGAGCTCTTGACAGATTAGCTTCCCTCACTTGCAATTTTCAGCAAGTTTCTCCATTTAAAAAAAAAAAAATCAATTATTTGCAGAGCACTAGGAGGTGAAATTGAAATAACTCTCAGGAAGTTTCCAGGGCAGTTTTCATTCCCATTTAAGAGATATATTAAGACATTGACCCATAAATCCATAGAGATAGTCTTTCTGTTAGACCAAGGATGCATAAGGCTCCTTTTTTTTTTTTTTTTTTTTCCCCTCACACAAGGCTGAGGAATACTGCCAGGAATAATTTTAAACCTACTGCAATGCATATGGAAGCTGTAGAACACAAGGGTTAACAGCTTAAGCTACATATTTCCCTGGTCTATCCTGAAACTCAGTCTTTCTGTTGTACAGAATAAACCTGGCCTCCTTTTGAGTCACTTGAATTATTCCAGATGCACATCCATGTGATGGAAAGTTGACATCGTGGCCCAGAGGAGCACTTGCCATTCCCCCTTGAGTGGGTTTCCTGTCTGATTGTAGCCCCTTTCTGGGCAGAGATTAAACACACATATCAGGCTTTGCCAAGAGCCTTCAGCGACAGGAACGAGGCTCCAAAAGGATCAGTAAAGCTTCCCTTTGCTTAACAAACCTCCTCTCCGGGCAGTCGCACTGTTGGCTTTCCAGCCTCTCCTCAGAGAGGTAAATTAGAGGCAGCACCAAGTCCCCCCGGGCAGAGATACAGTAAACAATAGGTGAGGATGAAAACATTTACAGCCTGAATAGGGGAGGAAAAGGCAACACGAAAAGAGGCTGAGACACATTCAAGCCCCAGTTTCAATAGGGGAAGAGAATTCTCTGAAGCACCAGCAAGGACCGCCCCAGGCGATTCTCTCAGGGAGGTTTATGCTTCTCTGTCTCAGCCCAAAGCACTCATTTTCAAGGCAGAAGGGACTTTTCTCCAGAATGATAGAGCTGTTCAATACCCAGGCTAGGATCAAAAGCCAGGTGCCTGCTCTTTTTCTGGAGCTTGGTCTCTTCCACCGCTCTGCACAGCACGTAGTTAGGAGAATTTGCCAGGGAGGGAGAACCTTTCCTTGCACAACAGAGTGAAAGCTGGAGCAAAAGGTGTTACCCAAAAGCTAAAACTGAATATGTACAATAACCTTGTTCAGATGGGCAGCAACACTCACGGGCTCTGAAAGGAACAGTAATCAGCTGTCTGGCCTATATAACAAAGATAATTAATATGGAGCAATGGCTGATGGTGAGCACTACAGTCCCAGGATCTGTAAACACTGGAACTCAAAATAAATGAAAAAAAAAAAAAAAAAAAAAAGACAAAATAGTATACTCACCTGTCCAAACCCTCACCCTCAGCTTCTGAGCCTCCTAACCCTGCAATTCCCCTAACGCCACACCTGGAACCAGAATCCAACTCACTCCTCAAAGAGAAGCTCAGCTTAACATTGAGTTCCTCACTGAAAACAGCAGATAATGGGTAAGGTAATCCCGAAAAAACAAGGCCGTGAGGGCAAAAGAATCCCTGGGACTGTGCCTACATTACAAAAAAAAAAAAAAATTAAATTTGTATGCTTGACTGGGCTGCATATGCCTCTTGTTTGTTTGACTGAGGGTGATCTAAAGTCCTGTTGTGTGGCAAACAGCTCACAGATAAAGACTGCTAATAAGTGAGGAAGCCTTTCCCTCTTTTTCTGAATCATTTTTATGGATGCCTGAGGTTATTGCGAACTATTGCATCAACACTGAATCACTCCTTCCTTTGCATATTTAAGTACAAGCCATCCTCTTCAGAAAACTTTGTTATTTCATTGAATCAAAGCAATTAAAAAAAAAAGGGAGAGGAAAAAGGTCAACATCCTTACTTTCAGCTTCCCAAGTCACTTAATCTCAACTTGGATTTGAGCTACACAACCAGACAGCAGCACCAGTTGTTACATCAGGGGTTTAGAAGCAAATGGAAAGGAGGAGGTGAAGCAAACCCAGGAGACAGTCAAAAGGAAAACATCTCTAAAGCTCCCCTGAATTGGTGACACTTACCTGTTTGTTCCATTTTATGCCTCTGGGTCTCTCTGAAATAGAGAAGAGCAATTATAAAGTGACCCACTTTCCTCCTGTTTAGTGTAAGGAGGAAACAGGGGGAAGGGGAAGGAGGGGAGGAGAGGAAGAGTTGCAAAAGGATAATATCAAAGGGGAGAGAGAAGGGGGGAAGGGGAAAAGCAAATCCTCACAGAAGGTTGGAGGGTAAATTGTGATGACCCAGTTTAAAGGAAGAGCAGGAACTAGACCTACTGACAGCCAACACCTTCCCACCCACTCTAAGGAGATGAAACAGTAAGGGAGAGGAACAAACTCAGGGCTTACAGCATTTCTTCGGGGTGCAAACCCCTTCCTCCAGGACAAAGTCCACGCAGCTGAAGTTCCCCACCAAAAGAAAGGGCCCCTCCCATCATCCCTTTTACCTGGGTAAGGGAGGGGCGGAGCAACATCCTGGTGGGGATGGAGCAAATCAGGGCCAGGTGTTAAAACTTAAGATCCAAAGAACTCAGGCAGTTTGCAGTAGCCGAGGCTGCCTCACAGGTGAGGCTGGGAGGCACATCAAGCTGCCAGGGAAATGGACAATCATTCTCCTTGTAAAGACCCGAGAAGTGGCATCACATGTGCTCGAGTCAGAGGCAATCACTCGATTGTCCTGATGTCATGATCCAACGTGGCAGCTCTAGCCTTCATGTTTTGGTTTGCTTTACATTTCTGTCTTTTGCTTAAAAGATTAGTGGTGTTTCTATTTCCCTCCTTCAGACCCATTTGCCTCACTCAGTATAATCAGGCACAAGTGGAATGAAGTCGGTACTCGTGCACCACTTCACACTATTCAAAACTGATTAAATAAATACTGTAACAAATACATGTACTGTGTGGTTGACAATTCTAACCATAAAGGAAGGAGTAGCCGCACCCTCATCTCCAGGTGGTTTATTAAAAATCACAAGCCAGCTTGTTGAACTCATCACAGCACCACTGATTACAAAGCCTGCAAATGAAGGGAATTGCAGTTCTCAGTTCCAAAAGTCTAGGCACAGTTTTAAATTGCCTGTGTTTTCCTGTAAAAAAAGCAATATCCCCCGAAAGCATGACCTTGTTTATTTTAATAAAGCAGGATAGTGTTAAATGAAAAATGGAGTTTAACCCTTACCTGCTGTCTCTCTCACGGGCACACAGAGATACCTGTGTTTATACCCCCTTTCTTCTGTAAAATATAGACCAAGTGATCCTACTCCTCCCTCCTTCTGTGTCCAACATCTTTGTGACTCTCTCTGTGCCTACTCAGACTTGGGCAGAGCCTTCTTCTCATGACAGTTGAGCTTGGCCTAAGTCTCCACTTGGCGAGGTTTTTGGAGACCTCAGACCAGCCCTACCTCCAGGCCAGAATATAATTGCTATTATATTTATAATTATAATAATTATTCCATGATTATATTGTGACAACTTCTCCTTTACACATCAGGCAAGAGATGTTAGAGCCTGGCCTTGCTGGAAATGACACAGTCACACTGGAGTGTGTAGCTGTGGGAAGGACCCAGCCAGGGCAGAAGAAGGTGGGGTCAGCTCTGGAGACTCAGACTCATCAAATATTTAAGTCCTGGTTGCTCTTTAAGCGACTAGTTGGGAATCAGGTACCAAAACACGGGGATCTGGCTCTGCACATCTAAGCGAGTAATCAGGAAATCAGGGGGGACTCAGCTCTGAAGGCTGATGTTAAAATCATATTTTAAATGTCTCTATTTTTGAACATAAGCCTCAGAGGAATCTTGGCTTGGCTGGAAGTGGAGCACCTGATCATAGACAGGTCCCTAAAAAAGCCCACAGCTTAACTGCATATCTAGAGATCCTGAAACTGCAGGGCAAAATCAGGCCCAGCCATTCCCTCAAATTGAATCAGAAGCAGCCTGGGGCACATAGATGCAAGTACTGATGGTCAGAATCAGTAGTTACATAAACAGCAATGAACGACAGAAAATAATTGGGAGTTCTGCATAAAGAGCTCGATCCTCAAAATGTTCTTATCACACGGCCCATAACAGACTAGGGCATGCCTTGGCACCCAAGACTGGAAAACAAGAAAAGTGGAGAGGCTGTGAAATGTTCAGGGCCTAAGCAGGTACATTTTTCCTCTCTTTTTTGCTTTATGCCTAGTTCAGTCCATTCCCCAGCCACATACTTGAGGCACAGATGGGCAGTGCTGAGCTAAACAAGATATTTCCCTCTCTGCTGAGAAAAAAATAAAGAATGGAAATGTCTGAGGAAGCTGGGGGAAATCAAGGCAGACTTGGTGTTACAACCGACTCCGGGAGCGCCCAGGAATTAACATCCAGGACCTACTGGCACTGTCAGCACTGTGGTGTTTTGTTCACTTAGCTGCCTCCCAGCCTTGTTTTGCAGCACCCAGGAGGGTGTGTTGGAGGCTGAGGGTGATGCTGTGACAGCCAGGAAACTCCCACTGCCCACAGACCTCAAATCGTGGCCAAAAGAAGGGCTGCTCCTTCCTCCTCTGAACTTGTTGCAGGCTCTGCCTGCTCTGCCTTTTGCTGGCTCCTGGCTGGTAACGTGGGAACCCACATCATGTCCCTCTCATACAGCTAAGTGTGTTCCCTGTCTCATTATTCATGGGCTGTGCCCACAGGTACCAGTTGTTCAGCCTGCTGAATATCTGCCTGAATAATTAGGAATGAGCTGAATCATTCTTAGACCAAATTCCGGTTTTCTATCTCCTCCTCCCTCATTTACAGGCTTTGCTTCTCACAGCTCTCCTGTGCACAATGTGAAATGAGTGTGCAAGTACTGTGGGAGAGAGTAAAAAAAAAAACAAAAACCCCATGTACTTTTTCCTTTTTGTCTTTTTTTAAACCATCCTCAAAAGACGATCAAGAATCAGCTAAAATTGCTTAGTAGCACTTATTGCGACAGAAATCCTAGTGCTTTGGTGCAAAAGGCTGCCCCCCTCTGCATCTTCCAGGATAGAGGCACTCGTGCTCCTGAATGACACAGGATATATCCCTTCCCTCACTCATTTTCAGAATAACTGTAGGAAAGGTAGTTGTTCCTACTAAGCTTACTGGGTGACGTTTATGATCTATTTAATGATTTTGCCCTATGTTGTTTTATTAAAGTACGTGATTTCTGCTGCGGCAGAGCTTGAAAATGAATCTTAAATTGAGCACAGTTTGCTCACTGGAAATCTACCTTTTATCCTGCTCCCACTCCCTCCCTGCTTTCCCTTCCTTTTTTCCATCCCTTATCCCTCTTTCCCCAAGTTATGCTGCATTTTATTTTGCCTTCACTGCATTTTCCTCCCTGGCTTTCGATAAAAGGAGCCAAATTCATCCCTGCTGGTATCCAATGGACTGAAATTCTTCTCAAAGGCGTTATTGGGCTGAATCCAAACCCAGCCAGCATTGTGCAGTGCTGGTGGCTTAGTCAAAACAGCAGTTTATAATTTTCCTTCCCTTATCTACCGTTAGGATGAATTATTAATAAGTACTAGTATTGCTCCCTTCAAAAATCATACTTTATTTCAAAAGCACCTATCAGACAAGCTGTCTGACTGAAAATTCCTTTTTAACTTTCCGCGTGTGCTTGGAACTCGCACAGACAGCCTGGCTCTCAGATCGGGGCTCGCTCTGGGATTCCTCCTGCCATCTGCAGTGCACACCTAACCCGAGCGCTGGGCACGGTTAACCCGTGCGTGAGCCGGCCGGGAAAGGTTTGTTTTCCCAAATTGTCGTTTGTGACGCTAAATCTGCTTCCTAGTCAGGCTGCTGTTCCGGATCCCTCACCTGGAGGAGGGGGGTGTCTGCACAGCGTTAATCTGATGCTGCAAGTCTGTGTTTACAGCCCTTAAACCTGACAGGTTCCCTCCTTCCCTGCGGTTTCCGTGTGCACAGCTCATTAGATACTCTAATGCAGCAGGAAGCCCCTCTTGCCTGAGAATTCCTTTGCCGTATATTTAGCAAACTTTTGACTGCTTCCCTTCAAATGAGACTGAAGGACATATTTTCGTAGGAGAGGGTGAGACTCACAAAGCACGATCTACAGTCACGTTTTTCTGTGGGGAACTACAGAGCAGGGGAGGAGGAATCACCCGCAGTTCTCTCTCCTTCTCCCCCGCGCTTTCCCTTCCCTCCCCTCCCCGTCCCTCCCCCACGCCGATACAACCATAACACGAGAGGAACGCGCTCCAAAATACAGCTGCATCGTCTTCCCTCTCTTCCGGTTTTCCTTGCCTTGGCAAAAGGGGGAGGGATATGATGAGGATGGAATTATCGCTAATGCGGGACCGATGTTTTGACTCTGTGTCATCCACAGACTGTTTAGAAAAGCCTGTACCAGGGTGTCGGAGTTAAACGCAGCCAGTGCTCGGTTATTGCTCACAGGAGAGGCTCAGACAGGGGAGAGGGAGGCATCTGTAGGTCTGGATGGTTCCATAAATGAAGGCACCAAGGCTTGTGGCATGACCAGGGAAAGGATGGCTGAGGTTACGAAAGGGAGCATCGCACTTCGGCTGCAATCCCAATCCTTCATTAAATTCTCCATTAAGAGATAAATTTTACAAACATACACGGTTTTGTATGAAATGAAAGGATTTCCTCCCCATTAGAAATCACACTGGAGACAGCTCCATTTGCTCCAAATTAGGTACGCTCTGAATGAATATTTTAATTAATCCATGATAAATCAGCCAGGCTCTTTCCTGGAACAGAGCTACCGTTTCCCTCCTCGGCAGCAGTGGGATGTGTTCCCTCTGCTCTCTGAGTGTAGGTGCCCAGGCTTTTGTTTATTTTTAATTTCTCTCTTTTTTTAACCTGTCCCTCAAATGATCAGTTACAACACATGCCCTCATCCATGGATTTCCTTGCGTTTGGCTGCTCCTACTTAGGCGGGAGGAGGGGGGAGAGGGGGGGAATAACCAGATTAACACACCCAGACCCCCGGCAGGACATTCTGAGACATAAAAAGAGGGGAGAAGGAGGAAGAATTCACACATAAAAATAGAAGCCCACGTAGATTGGCCATATATGGAGTACCGGGGACTTCAGAGGGATACCCTCTTCGGACCACCCCTTGGCGGAGGGAATCGCTGCTGCGGGAGGACCCCTCTCCCCCCTCCCCGGCCCAGCAGCGGGGCTCAGCCCCCTGCCCCGACCCCGGCGGCGGGGAGGCGGCGGCGGGAGGCGGCGGGGCCGGCGGAGCGCGGAGCGGTGCGGTGCGGCGGCGATGACTCAAGCGCGCCCGGCCCGCTCTGCCCCCTCCCGCTCCCCCCGCCGGGGACGGCTATTAAAAGCTGCTGACGTAGGAGCGGACGGCCATCTTTGATGAGGGCACGGCTCCCGCTCCATTGAAGAAGGAGCCCCGCGGAGGTCAGCAGCGCCTGTCCTTGCCTCCCGGCCAGCGGCCGCACCGACCCGCCGACCCCGCCGCGCCGCCCTCCCATCGGAACAGGTAAAGGGGGCACACCACGGCGGGCATCCAGGGGATGAACGGGGGGGTACCAACGAAAATGAAACGGAAAAAAAGGGATATGTTTAAAGAGGGACCCGTTCGGCTGTTTTTGTTTCCATCCTCCGGGCTGCTGCGGGCATGGAGGAAGGCAGGGAGAGGGGGGTAATCTCGCCGCCAGCCTCATCGCGGGCTGCCGGCAGCCGGGCTGTGCCTCTCGGCCGTGCGGGCGGCGGGAGGCCGGCGGGGAAGGGAAGGTCGGAGGAGAAGGGGAACCAGCGCCATTCCCAGCTCGGAGCGGGAGGAAGGGTGTGCGGACGCTCTGCGCTGCAGGGCCGGACCGGGCTGTGCCGCCCGGGGCACTGCAGCGCCCGCACCGCGCCGGGGCTGCGGCGGCGCTTCAGCACCGCGGACAGCGCCGGGGCCGCGCCGGGACCGGGGGGGGATATCCGTGTGTGTGTGTTTGTGTGTGTGTGTTTGTGAGTCTGTATATATATATATATGTGTGTGTTACTGCCTGTGTGTATTACTGCCTGT